GGAAGACTTAACTTACCAAAATTTTATAAATAAGGATTAAAGTTACTATTTGTATTTAGTAACTGTCAAAGCTGTGATTACTGGTCAGCTTCACAGGGCAGTGCTTACTGGTTATAGAAATTAATAGAATCTGTTAAGACAGATAATTTCCCAATTAGTTTTAATATGATCCTTTTCCCCTGTGAAATTACGCTTTGGACATGATACATGTGAAAGCATCCCTTCGAGTTCTACTGGCTTAATAAAACAATAAATACCAGCTAATTACCAATATTTTTTTAAATCTCTAAATTAGTAGGAGAGTAGAACTCTTTTTACTAGACATGAAATAAAATTTCTGAAGTACTAAGTGAATGGAAGTATAACATTGTGTATTTCACTGTACCACATTACACTTCAAAAACTACAGTAGATCTCGAAGGTGGTGAAGAAAATGAAGGTTTTGGGACTTAGATATGTAGAAGTGAAACAAGTTTTCATGCATGTTTGTTTAAAACCTTGATGGTAGAGAAATACTTCAAAAGGGAGAGGATACTGGAATATGATTTGGTAATGTGTGTCTTAGTTTTTAAACGTTTGGTCGGGAGCTCTATATATCGAATATCACAGTGAAAGAGGAAAATAAATCAATTTGGCACTTCAATTTTTGCTAAAATTTTAGTTTGTTCCTTTGAATGTGAATACCTACTTAACTTGACTATATAAAAGGATTTTTGGATCTTGGGATCGTTTTATCTTCATGATTTCTAAAAATCTGTTGGAAAATGTGATTCCCCTAAGTGTCTTTGTTGGGAAAGATACGCCTCTAACAAGCCTAATCAAGGAAGAGGAAGAATAGCTGAACTATTAATCTAAAAAAATTTTTGTTTACTAGACTTAGTAAATAAACTCTATAATAACTGAAAACAAGTTTATTAAAATCTTAATTAAAACATGATAGGTTTTTGACATTTTGTTTTACTTTTTTTTGGTCTGAATCTTGGTACTTTTACTTTTGAGAGTTATATGAATAACAGGTGTACCAGTTAGAATCTGGAATATAATTATAGCTCTTCTGTCTCACAGTTCTGTAGTGATGATGGCCTGATATCAGAGGAGAAAATGTAACTAGGACATGAGACTGTCTAAATTAGAAACACCGTTATAGGCAGCATGTTATTTTTTTATAGGCAAATGTCTTCTCTGACCCACATGACAACTTAGTGTGTTACTTTTGAAATGCACGGACTGATCTCTTGAGCCAGGCACTAATATATGGGCAGCAGAGACGCGTAATAACTCAGTGCCCAGCACAACCCACCAAGGATAAGCATCTCTTTGGAGCAAAACCCAACATGTTCATGTTAAGTGTTGCCGATGTTGAAGCAGTGGCAAAGGGAGAAATGGGGTGGACAGTCCTGAGGCTTTTTTTTGTATAAATATTCATAGAGGCAATGTGAGAGAAGAGTTCATCAAAAAGGCTACTAGCTTTTATTCCAGCTTCTTACAGCACATGTACGGCACAGTTAAGTAGGCCCATTGAGGATGTTTTCGGTTTAATCATTGTTTGCCTGCTGTTGTTTGATTCCTAATGTTCAGAAGGAGCACTTGCTTGTGTTTCTGTGGCCATTTGTATGTGATGAATTGTTAATACTCACTGTCTTTCAGCAAAAGCAACATCTTTTATGTTGGTCTTAAGCAGGGTAAATGGAAGGGGGCAAAATCAGTTGTGTGTTTGGGTTTTGTGTTGTGGTTTTTTGTTTGTTTGTTTGTTTTTAAATAAAGTGTTTGTGACCCAGACATCATCTTAATTTCAAGCTGTTGATAGAAAGCTGAAAGCAACTGTGATATGGAGTGGTTAATTAAGTGCACTTTAACTTTAGCTGTATAACTTTAATGCACAAGTTCCTGTTGCAGACTTTCAAATTGCACTTGAAAATTGACTGGTTACAAACATTTTAGGGGAATTTTAATAGAACAAGAAATATTTCTTGTGATAATTAAATATGGTGATCAAATATTATAACAATCAATTGTATTATAAGAACAAATAATAGGAATATAGATCTCCTGCTATTTTTTGATAAAACTGATTTTTAAAACTAATTACTTTTTGATTCCAGAGGGCGTAATCTGTTGGGTTGATGTCACTTTCTTCAGCTTCATTACATTAATTAAGCAAAAAACTTAAGAGATTGCAAGAGGTCCCATATTTTCTTCCCCTGTCAGTTTTGGTTTCTTTTATCTTGAGAGCTCAAACTGAGATCCACTTTCAGATCAATTGCTCACTTTCTTTTTAATAATTCTTTCTTTATTTATTTTTTTTATTTTCAACTTCGTACCAAGTATTTAGCTCTTCTGATTGCAGAAAGGACAGAGTGACAGCAGGAGTGCTTAATTAATTTTACTTCAGGAATGGATAAGTGAGTGATTTTAGGTGAACTGAAAAATGCCAGGTGGCATTGGGAATAAACATGAGATCACACAGCTGTTAACTTAATTGACAAGAGGTCGCAGCTAGCATCTGTTACTGCTCTTGTATTTATCTCTAGATATTTGGGGAAATGGTTTGCTATTTCCCAAAGTTTAAGACCAAATGACAGCGTGAAGACTGTAAATGAATTTGAATATGAAACCACTTTAATCTCAGTTTGTGCAGTTCACAAATTGCATGACATATATGTTCTGTAGGAGATATGATGTGGTCCAGGAGAGAAGCTGTGGCTTCAGCTGTGCAAACCATGGCATCTCCCAGAGTCTCTCCTCTGGAATCCATTGAATATGCTGTAGTTGCATTGGTTGTAGAATTGGATAGAGAATATCTCCTTGGTCTCTGGTCCGTTTAGCTTGCACTGTTGTTTTCTGACTTGTTGCCATTGTCAGGGCTCTGCTTGTTCAGGATGCTTCTGGACACACTTGCGTCTCTTGATGATCAACAGGTTGTTTGCTTAGTTTGGCTATCTGTTTCCATGAGCACACAAAACTTGGCAGAGTTCATTCTGCTGTCTGGAACAAGAGGTTGGTGAAGTTCACATGCTTATGCTAACGCTGAGCTAACGAGGCCTGATGGGTGAACTGCTGCTCTGTTTGAGCATGAAAATTATGGAGTCAGGAAAATGGAAAGACTCAGAGTTGGTCTATTGGTGAGGGAAGAGAATAAGTGCAAATTTGAGACTGCATTATTTTTGACTTTCCTCCTTGTCTCTGACTTTTATTTCCATTCTTGGGTGCCTCTAGAAATAACAAAGAAATAGAAAACTATCAATAGTTTAGCCAGGCTTGAAGAAGTTGTACTATGGTGCAATAGAATTTACTTATTTTTTATGCTACAAAATACCTTCTAATTTTTCAATGGCATTCCTAGCTCCTTATTTCATTTTTCTACCAAGTTTTACATGGAATTGTTTTTGAGGGAACTTCTCAGTGTAATTAATAGTTTCAGCTGTTCAAGTAGACTCCTGTATGTGTAGTTTACATCCGTTTAAACTATATGTACGCTTAATTTTTTTTTTTTTTTGGTGCTATACTTCTGTATTAGCCATATAACTTTCAGGTAAAGGGAATAATAAAGCAATTAATTTATTTTGTATATTTACTTTTTTTCTGCCAAGTACTAGTAAATGCAATTGGTAAGCCACTTACCAGATGGAAATAAGATAAAATTACTCATTCATTTCCTGTGACAATACAAGGGCCGTTGTTCACTGTGGGTACAGATGTGATAGAAATTGGAGATTAAGGCTCAGGTTCAGATCGGCTAAAGTTCACCAAAATCTCTGCTTACTCCACGCTGTAATTCAATGTCCCTCTTTTTGTCTCCCTTTAATTTCATCCTCATGATGTTCATGACTGACAGTTTTTACTGTTATTTTTATTAACATTATTCACTGCTTATTTAAAAAAAGAAAGAGGGAGATGAAATTGAACTGGACATTTCAGCTCAGAATGAAATGCTTTAACAGCTCCAGTTGCATTGAGTAAAAGTGTATGTGTTTCTAAAAGTTTGTCGTGATGACTTTTAACGATGTTCAGAAGCTGAATTGATGAACAAGTGTAGAATGGTAATTTTAAAGAGCCATTTGCACTTTTTTTCTACAGAAGTACAAAAGTACTGATGGTGGGATTTTTTTCTTAATTATGTCTCTGAAGTATTTCACCATGTTTGTGTATGTTCTTTGCTGTGATTATCATTAGTTTTGCTTTATGTATTTTAGACTTCTTCAACATTTTGTTTAGTGTTGCTGTTTTCTCTTTAAACCCTACACGGGTTTCAAGCAGTGCACTTTGTGGGATTAAATGAGTTCCCAGTTGAAGGTATTGCTAAAGGTACTCACACTTGAGCTGCACGTGCGTTGCATAATATAAGATGAACAAAAAACAATCCCTTGCAACATGTTGCATCAGCTTTTTTCCTCCAACACTGATAAACAAATAGGTAGTTACTAACAAAATAGAACTCTAAATGAAAAAAAATTGTAGGTTACATAACGCTGGTGTTTAGATCTGTATTTTCTGGTCTTCAAAGAGATGTATGCATATGCTAAAA